GTTCCTATATTTTATTTGGACCGTTAGCTCCATACTACTAACTAGCTAACTAACTAAAATGATTGACAATCTGACATATGGAAGCTTTAAAGAACATTTTCACAGTACAAAAAATAAAACAGCTAAAACAGTTTTATTTTTATTTAAAAAGTATTAAAATAACAGAAAATGGGCAGAATCTGACACTTTGAGTTTCTTGTCGTTTATCAAACACTTGGATGGAGTTCAAAGGAACGATTCAGCAGATTTACTGCTGTGTCATGTTGGAGGTGTGACGGTGCAGATGTTAATAAATCAGAGTGGAAATAAAGAGATCACACCAGCAGCTGCGAGTTTTACGGCTCTGTCAGTATTTGATGGTCTGAGTTTACAACATGAACAGGAAACTTTCTCCACACGGAAATGAAGCTTTTAAAACTGGGTTTTATTTTCACCTGAAAACTTCAGATCAGCAACAAAGATGTGAACACCTGAAAAGACGGTGATGTGTTTAAGGACACATAGAGGATTATTTCTTTATAATATCATAACGTTGGACATCTGTTGGACGTCAGATTGCCGGTGGATCCGGATTTCAGGGACAAATAAAGCTGAATGTCATCAGCATAGAAAAGAACGCTTATGATTACGTATTATTCCAAGTGGAAAGATTTAGATAGAAAACAGAAGGAGACCAAGGACAGATCCCTGAGGTACTCCACAGAAAAATCCCTTCAATCATTAGTTCAACCAGGACAAACTATTCAAAACCAAACAGACCCGCTGATTAAAAACTGAATAAAGCAGTTCAACCTTAACAATAATGGTTTCTCCAGACAAAGGACATTTCACTGTTAAAAGGTTTTTTTGGGGGGACTCAAGAAAAGATAGTTGCTTGTTGAAACAACCAACCCAAAGCGTCTTTATATATTTCCTGGCTCTGATTGATTGTTCTCGTCCCATCAGGACCACTAGGAGGAGCCAGAGGAACCTGATTTGTTCACAGATTGTCTGTCTCGTGTCCAACAGTCAGGATATAGTGAAAGATTCAGTAGTGAAATACTACATTCAGAATAAAAGCTTATCTTATAAAGCCCTTATCAAATATGGATTATTGTCATATTGGGAATAATAGTGGAACATTAGTGTGCATGTAAACGTAGTCAGTGTAAGCTTATGGTGAAAGTATTTCGGGGGCTGGTGTGACGTCGCTGTAGTTACACATTTTAGCCACTACGTCAAATTGACTTCAGAGCGGCTCGTGGGTTCTCATAGGAAACAGAAACAAAACAATTCTTATTTCAAGTGATTTTATGGTAATGGAAACATTATATATTATCTTCCAGTTCTATTGTATAGTTTACCCTCCTCTGCCTCAGTGTGACCCACTGCACCTTTAAAGCAATCAGGTGTCTGTATTAACACTGGATGATAATCTGAAGTTAATATGAAGCTCTGACACATTTGTGACAGTTTCAGATGATCAGAAACTGGGCGACTAATATTTATTCAGATTGTCCAGTTTTATAATACACTAAACAAACTGTAATGATTTAATTGCTCAGGTAATGTTGTTGTTGTTGTTGTTGTTGACGAAGCCATGTGCATCACACAGTAATAAAAAGCATTCAGATTAACCAACAGCAGCATCTAGTGGCCACACACAGAATCACTTTAAACATTTTATTTATTCCATCAAGAAAGTCGAATAAAAGTAAAGTTTGTTGGATGTAAACAGACAGATTCAGGAGTACAAAATAAAGGCACTTAACTTACATCACCTCCATAAAATATCTTCTCTTTTTATACAAATATTTACACTCCTCATCCCGACAGCGGTCGGCGAGTTTAAACTCAAACAGTTTCAGTCTGCTGGTGTAACATCAGCGTGGAGCCCTTTAACTGATACTTCTCATTAAAGACAACCAGGGAGCAGTTTTATATGATCAAGTGTTTTTGAAATGAAACTCTTCTGTAAACTAACAGTGAAATAGAGAAAAGTCATATTTGTAATTAGTATAAAGATAGAAAACACACACACAAGAAGAACACGTAAAAATAAAGCTGCTGCTTCATCACACCTTCACTTCAGTGACTTCATGGGAAACAGACAATAAATGGATGGAATGAACATAATACTAACACTTCCTTCTCTTCCTACAGAACGCAGTGATGATCTATCGCCACCATCTCATTGATTATTGATCCAACCCAGCCCCCGCCTTATAGCTTAATCTGAGTCTCAGTTGATGGACTTTTAGATTATAAAGACTATAAAGTCACCAAGGAGCTACGTCCATTAACAGTAGCTGTTAGCAGACACTGGATTACTGAAGGAACCATGATTCTCCGAGTTCTGAAGTGTCTTTTTCTCTGATTTGAGGATTTATGGAGGTTAAACTGTAGCTGGACATCAGAGGGAAGGGTGGAGTGAGTGTTGGTGTCATCTTACAGACTTAGACTCACTTTGTTGTTGTGAGCTCAACAGAAAGGACTGAACCAGTCAGAAATGTTGTAGCAGGTGTGAGCTCACTGTGCTCCTGTGATCTCTAAAGGGTAAATGAACTGTACTGTACGGCGCCCGTCTCGTCCCCCGACCACTCAAAGCGCTTTACGTTACAGCCACATTCACCCACTCACATTCACACAGTGATGACACAACGTCAGGAGCAGCATCAGTATCTTGCTCAAGTACACTTCCTCATGCAGCGGGAGGGGTTTGTCACTGTGTGTGTGTGCGTGCGTGTCTGTTTGTGCGTGTGCGTGCATGCATGTGTGTCTGTGCATGTGTGTGT